TTTTGAGCGAATCACAGATCAAGACAGTAGTAGAGCCACTGTAGATGCTCTTCAATGCAGGCAAATCCACCAATGTCACCCTTTCTAACTTGGGTAGAGTGGGTATTTCTAGGACTTTTTCTCCTTCTTCATATTCGGACCATATTACCTCCTCCATTTGATGACATAAGCTAACCTTAATGGTCTGTAGATTCTGGAGATACCGCAACAACCTAAGCGGCAATAACTTCTTTATTTTTCCACATTGCTGAACTTCAATTTTTTGAAGAGAAGAAAAAGTGCCAGCTGGCAACGGTGCTGACTTGGCAACTGCTTCTACTGCCCCAACCACTGCATTCAATTTTTTCAGATCATAAAGGTGTAGCGACTCAAGGTTTTGGAGCAGCTTTAAGCAGTGCGAGGAGACAACAAACTCCAGGCCATCACATCGATCAACGGTGCAGTGCCGCAAGTCGGTTGCTTCTTGAAAGCCAGAAATGTCGTCCAAGCTTTTCACATCCTTGCAGTCCAAGATGTAGAAGCCTTGTGCATAAGATGGTAACCAATTAGGCTTCTCACATATATCAATATGACAGCATACAATTGATTTCATAACATTTGAAAAGGTTTCGTTATAGGTGTAACGATCATGTGGACTGTAGCTTCCAACAAAAATTTTGTATTGATTTAAAAGCTTTCTTTCAGACTTAACAAAGAGGCTCATATCATCCAACGTAGACAACCGGCAAGCAAGAGATTCCAACTTCCTCAATCTTTCAATCTCCTCCCATTTCAATGGTCTAATCCCATCTACTCCTAAACACTGAAGTTTGGAGAGATTTTGTAGCAATCTGTCAGGTATTTCAGTTAATATTCTACCAAGCCAAAGATATTTTAGATTGGTTAACATGTTGAGGCCTTGGGGTAGTTCTTTAATTATTGTCCCATGAAGGTTTAACTTTTTTAAGCCTCCGAGGTTGGATAAAAATGTTACCTCTTCTAAGGACTCACAATTCTCCAACAGTAGTGTCGTAAGGCTCTCCAATTTAGAAACAGAACTCGGCAGCCTATGTAGCTTCGGATTGCCAGAAAGATCAAGGATCTTCAGCCCAGGCATATGATCAAAGAAGGCTTCTGGAATTGTTGTAATATTGTTTCTGGACAACAATAAGGTTGTGAGCACTGTACACTTTGGAGACAACATACTTGAAGGAAATTCTCTTATTTGATTCTTCATTAGAGAAACCTTCAAAAGATTTTTTCTCCTTTCAACCTCCTCTGGTAGCTCTTCCAAGGCCATGCCAGCTTTCACCATGAATTGGGGATGAATTATCTTCAATGCCATTTCTCGGAGAAGATCATGCATAGTCACCCCATCTTCTTTGTTTTTCATTTTAACCAGTGCATGCGGCAGCACCCATTTTCCATTGCATTCTTTTTTAACCGATTCCAACATGCAATTGTCTATGAACTTCTGAATAATAGAATGGCCCTCACAAATCATTAAGTACCGAGACCCACTTTCATCTTCAATAAATCCCTCCTCAATCCAAAATTCAATCAACTCGTCTTTTTCGATTTCATGATCCTCAGGATACAATGCACAGTATAAAAAACACTCCTTGTATTGTTCTTCTAAGTGATCATAACTGAACTTCAAACAATCAACAATTTCTTTAGATTTGCTCAATTTTTTATCTGCCATCTCCCATAAGTGACGATCAAACTTTCCTCTCATGGTTTTTGCCACCACCCCAATAGCAAGGGGTAAACCTTTACATTTCTTCAAAATCTGATTCAAAAAAGGTTCTATATCACTTTTGTATTTGGGATCGGACACCACCTCACTTCCAACTTTGTCCAAGAATAATGCTACTGCTTCATCATCTGGAAGAGGCTCCACAAGGATCTTCTTACACTGCATTTGACCAGCAACCTCTTGTGACCGTGTTGTGAGCACCATCTTGCAAGCATCAAGGATTCCAACATGTTCTAGAGAAAAAGGCTCCCACACATCATCCAGAATTAAAACACAACTGCCTTGTTGCAACCTTTGTAATATTCGTCCTGCAAGCCTGGTTGCATCTTCGTGCTCATTCAAGTTTAATCTCAATTTTCTAGCAATGTCCTTTTGAAAGTTGAGACTATCAAACTGTCTTTTTTGTTGGAGAACAATATCAAAGTCTCTGGATACCTTTACCCAGACAACTTCCTTAACTGTGGATTCTTTCAATAGTTGGTTGTGGACTTGTTTCATGATTGTTGTCTTGCCTACACCACCCATTCCACAAACTGCAATTCTTGTAACCTTGTCTCCCCTTAATAGTTGCAAAATTTCTGCTTGTACCTTATCCCGTGCAATGCATTTCTCTACAGGCATTGGAATTCCTTTTTTTGCGTGATCATCTCTGACCAAACTCACACCAACGGAAGTGAATTCTTTTCCTTCCTCAAGTAATCGCTTCAATTCTGCAGTCTTTTCCTCGAGCTTTCTTGATGAGCAAATAAATGTGAAACAACCCCCTTTGATCAGATCTTCAACCTTTGCAGTAGTTTCTCTGCGTGCTGCCTCCAGCCAATCGTCAACTACGTTCCTTGCCTTCTTTTCAGGGTGGTTACGTCGTTGTGTCTCTAATTCTGCCTCAATGTCTTCTTCTTGGCCCTCTAGCTTCCTTTGCATTTCTTCGAATGCACATACATAATCCTTGTGACATATCTGATACTTGACATATTTCCAAACTGTAGGGCCAAAATCCTTCACCGAACTAATGACTAAATTTGCGATGTCCATTTGCAAGTCCCTACATAAATATATATGAAATTGTTGGCAGGGTTAGAAAATGTATGTTTTGATGCATAAGATAGTAGAAACGTAATCACCATAGAAAAGGGATAGTACAATTAGCAAGAGCAACAAACAAATGAGGCTTAGTTTGCGAATGTTTCTTAGTGCTTTAATTTTTAATTTTTTTTACTATCTTAAAAATATATAAAATATTAAATATATTATTTATATTATATATTTTTAAAATATTAAAAAAAATTAATTATATTTAAATATTGTGTTGCAAAAGCCTGCATGCTTGAGATGTACAAATATTGGGCCTGGTCCTAATCCAAAAGGATGTTAAAAGCCTGCAAGCCCACCCTAATGACGAACCCGGCCCAAGTCCTCAAGTCAAAAAACCTTGATGACTGATTTTTTTTTTTTTTTATTAACCTCCAATATTTGATAATCACATCAAATCTTAATTAATCCAAAATCGAGTCATATCAAACCTTATTAATAGTTGCTCTCAACTCCCGATTTTTCATTTGACTCATACTCAAGATCTTGTTTAAGTAACCCAACCCCTTCCACCGTAATGCCAGTATTTTGAAAGAAAAACGACCTCTCAATAAAGGGGGTTAGGTAGCCAAAAAAATAAAAAATGAAAAACCCAAGTCCTAGAAGAGGGAGAGGATTCCCGCTTTTTCTGATTTTAAGAGGAACCGCGGCACACACAAAAACAAAATGAATAGCCACACAAAAAATGGGATTTGAGATTCTTCTAGAACGGAGGGGCTTTTGGAGACGACGGTGAAGGAGATGGACGGAGCAGGTCCAGTGGGAGGGATCTCTCCCTTTTGATCCCAATCTACTTTTTCTCCAGAAAGTTCCGCCTTGGGTGTTTTTCGTCTTTGAGGTTTTTGTTTTAGTGGCTGAGTTCTGGAATCTTGAGTTTGAACTGCTGTTTTGTTGAGTTTTGGCTTGAAATTCATTTCCCAAGAATAAAACCCTAATTTCCCTTTTCATTTTTTGTTTGGATTTGATCAGTTTTTACCCATTTCTACCATCTGGTTATCTTTCTTGGTCGGATTAATCACTAAAAGAGATTAACATTACCTTTGTTAAAAAAAAAAAATACTAAAAGATATTAAAAAATACAAATAATTAATAATAATAAATTAATTATTATAATTAATTTTAATTAATATTAAATTACTATCTAATTAAATTATTTATTATAGTTAATTAATTGTAAATTCTTTATTTTCTTTAATTAAAGTTTT